GGGGTACAGCAGGGCTCGGAATAGCCGGCAGTGGCAGCGGAGGAGGCACACACTCCCCTGCACCATACAAGCGATTGGGATTCTCTGTAGCCGCGCGAACGCTTGTATGTAACAGCCATCACTGGCTGTAAAAAATGATACCAAGATCACAGCTGCTGGAGCAACTGTTCAGGCTTATGCATAAGGCAGTATGAGCAACAGTACACATGCACGCACCCTGTGTGGGACTACAGCATCGGGCAGGGACACAAATTCGTATATTCCAAAATCATTAATAGCGTCTTCATGTCCTGAAAGAAACCAATAAAGAAAACAAAATAAAATTATAAAAAAATCCCTTCAATAAAGAGACATTTTATGCATAGCCTTAAAACTAGGGATGCGCTGATACTGTGTTTTTTTCGGTATCGAGTGTGAGTACGGATATTGAATACCGATACTGGAAGTCCCATTAAGGAAGCTGGGTGGCGTGTAATGACTCTCTGCCTGGCTTCCTAATGGCCAGCTTCTCGACCAATCAGGAAGCCGGGCGGCGAGTCATTACATGGCGCCCAGCTTCCTGATTGACCGGGAAGCCGTCTCCATGCTCGCTCCTCACCAGGTGACGAGGAAGCATGGAGCCGGCTTTCTGGACAATCAGGAAGCTGGGAGCCCGGTAATGACTCGCCACCAAGGCTTCCTGATTGGCCATCTTCCCAACCAATCAGGAAGCCGGGCGGCAAGTCATTACACGGTACTAGCATTGGTATCAGTGCATCCCTACTTAAAACCCAACTCAAGGCGCATAAACCTTACAAGTGATAAAGCAGTAAAACCATCTTTTGTTTCAAAAGTAGGGATGAGCTCAGGTTCAAGTTTAATCCCGGTGCAAACCTGAGCAACTCTGAATACGGAAGCTACATGGGGCCACTTGCCCAAGCAGCTGCAAGTCAGTGCATTCCCTACCCTGCAGCTGGTCATTAACAAAGGGGCAGGATGCTTCTGCTGCCATCATTTACCTTATATGACCCAATAGCCATATTAGGTATATGTCATTGACCAAATGTAGCCATGTTGCCATATAAGGTCAATGGCATCACTGCATCCTTTGCCTTTGCTTACGTGCAGCTGTGGGCAGGGAATTGCCCACCCTGCAGCTGATTGGTTGGCAGTGGAAGGTCCCAGTTCGGAAGAGGTCAGTACAAACCTGAGCTCATCCCTACTCAAAAGCAACCTCTTGTCATGCAGACATTGTCCTAAATCCTGCAAATCTGCTAATTTATAGACCAGGATTAGTACAGTCCCTGGTGAACTTCCAGTGCTGCATTTACCTCAGCAACATCCATTATAACATGACGTAAAAAGTAAACAAGGATGATCAGCATAGGAAAAAAAGTGTGAAATAACTCAATAAACCAAGTAATTTAAATAATAGAACCCAGCCAAAGGAAACTTTTTCATTTGTTGGCCTCATTAAGCACCTAGGTAAGGAAAGGAAAACACAGGTAACCACTTGTGGGGTCACACAATTGGTGCCAAAGGGCGTCAGGCATGAAGTACTAAAATTGACCATTCAAGCCTAGAACTACAAATAGCTATTCCCGTGAACCATCATACCTGAAAATATTGGAGTCCTTCTATACTCTGTGGAAGGCCTGAGGTGAGACAGAAATAGAACACACATTACAATGACATAAAACATTGGAAACTTTTTATCAAAGATTAGAGGGGTGTTGCGTCTGATATTCACCCCAAATTCTTTGGAGGAGATTCACTATGTATCAAACCAAATTAGTGGTAATGTGCCCAAAATGTTCCCAAAAATTAAATTCCCTTGCATTCAGTTACATTTGTTTTTCAATAATTGTAACATTCACCCTATGTAAGATTAGGGGGAATGACACATTGGGGTTCATTTATAAACATTCCGCCCGGCATACTGTATAGCCAAGCAGATGGCATTCGCATGGCACTAGCTCCCCTGGATGGCGCTGATGTGTATAGGATTCCTTTATTTGTCACCACCATCTATTAGGCCCCATTCACGCTTGGCGATATGCTTGGCGATTTGCATTTTGCGCGATGTCGCGCGATTTGTCGTGCGATATCGTGCAAATGCTTGCATTGAAAAGCATTGAATCGTGGCAAAATCCGCTTCAAAAAGGGTCCTGCTGTAGCGACGCACGACCCGCGACAGCAGGACCCTTTGCCCCATTGCCAAGCATTGGAGAGCGATATCGCGCGGTAAATAGCCGCGATATCGCGGGAATTACCGCGCGATAAAACGCTCAGTGTGAACGGGGCCTTAGGGTGATAGTGCAGTGCGAACGGAATCCACTTGGCTATACTCTGGGCAGAACTTTGAACCTCATTGTGTGCCCCTGTTACCCAAACTGTACTATATTAGAACAGCAGGCATGTGGCCTGGTATCTCCACAACAAGGAAGTGGTGATCATTCAATCCCCATGCTATGCTGATACTAGCCTGTATGCCATTAAACATTGGAGGGGACACAAAAACATGGGTCACCCTACTAAATCACTGGTGCCCAGTGCTGACAGACACCAGACTCTTCAGCACCCTGGCCACGCAGGAGGGATCCAGGCAAGCTGGGGCTTATGTACACATGTGGGGCATGTAGCTGTTTGCTCCCTCCCTGGTAAGCTGGTTGTAAAGGTCCCTCTGCCAGTGCACCATGCGTGCTAGAAAGAAGCTGAATATAAATTTAAAAAGTAACACTTGTTTTAAAATACTTTAACAAATCAGTTTTACTAATATTTACATTCCAGGGTGCAGCAATGTCCACTTCCACCCGAAGGGAGCTAACAGGAGGGCGGAGCAGGGGTAAATATTAGAAAAAAATTGATTTATTAAAGTATTTTTTAAACAAGTGTCGGTGTGTTTCCGTATACTGAACTTTTAACCCGCATACATGGCATACTGGTTGGAGGTCCCTATATAGGGATCCCTATAATCAGTTCATCAGGTAGGGCACAAATTGGTGTATGTAAAGCCCCCCACCAGGAAACTCCGCTCAAATTTCCCAATGAATCTTTTAGCTATAGAGTCCATTGTGTATAAGTAAAATTTCTGCAGGAAAAATACCTTCTTGGCTGGAGCTTCCACTGAATTCCTAAAGGGAAAGATAAAAAAATAGGATTA